GGCCACTGGGGCAGGAACAAGGCTGCCCTGGTCAGAGCCAGGAATCCAGGTGAGCTTCTCCTCCATGGCCCATGGCCTTTGAACCAAAACCTCTCCCGTGGGGAGGCCGGGCCTGGGATGTTCCGTGTCTGCTGGCCAGAAAGGGGCCTTTCTCTGATGAGACGAGGAGGAACCACCTGAGAGGGTGTTTTGTTTTCCTCATCAGAGATCAAAGGCAAGTCCCACTGGGCTGGGAATCCTCAGGGTCCCGGGAGCCAGCGGGCAGCCAAGAAGGGCTGCTGGAGGCACCAGGCCCTTCCCTCTCCGCCTGCCCCACGGGCTGGGCTCCGTGCCCCTCCCTTCCAGACGGCTCCCCAGGGCAGCCAGGGCTCGGGGACCTCAGCTCTGGAGTCTGGCTGGCTTGGTGGCTGTGGCCTCACAGAAGGCCCAGGCTCAGGTATACGCAGAAATGAGGGAGGACGTGCGGCTGAAAGATGGGCGTGCCCCAGGGCCTGAGGGCCAGCGGAGGCGCGGCCCCGGGAAGGCCAGTGGTTAGGGGCTGGGCCATGGATGACAGAGCCAGTCCCATGCTGTCTCTGACCCCCGGCCACCTAACTCTCCGAGCCTGCAGCTCTCTCCTGTACGCGGGGCTCGCTTTTTTACGTAGTGTCTGCTGCACTGCGGTCCTTGTCAGACACGGGGCTCGGTGCCTGGCCACCGTCACCCTCACGGCTGCGAGAGGCCTGCATGTGCCCACGGGCGTTCCAGCCGATAGGGACACTGGGGGCCGTGGACCCGGGGCGCCTGGCAAGCAGGTCTGAATATGGAACTCGCAAAGCCCCCTCCTCACCCATCGCCCGCGGCCAGGGCCCGCATCCCCATCTCCCCACCCCCCAGGGGGCGAGGTGGTCCGTGGCCCCCAAGGACAGAGGCCAGAGACCTTGGCCCTCTCCGTTTGCCATGAAAGAGCAAAACCACCGCAGGGTTCAAAAGGAACCAGAGGAAAACCTGGTAACTCGTCCCAGACGGTCCGTCCGCTTTATCAAAGCTGATCCTGGGGAGCAGCGTTCCCACCAGGAGGGGCCACAGCCTCATTAGGGAGCTCTGGGAACGATGAAAAAGCCGGCCGCCACGCACATCCCCGGACAATTAGGCCTTGTCCCTCTGCCTTCAAAGGCAGCCTTGCTGTGCATGTGTGTGTGGGTGCGTGTGTGTGCATGTGTGTGCGTGTGTGCATGTGCATGTGTACATGTGCATGCGTGTGTGCATGTGTGTGTACGTGTGTGTGTATGCGCGTGTGGGTATGTACACGGAAAGCCTCTGTGTACGTCTCTTCTCTGTCTTTTTGGCTCTTTGCTGCTGTTCTCTCTCTCTCTCCTTTCCGTCTACTCTTTCCCCCTCTCAGCGTGTCTCTGATGATCCCTCTTCTGCCTGCGGGTACCCACAGACGGCCCAGACCAGACAAACACCGCCCCCGGAAACCCAGCCTCATGTCCTTGGAGCAGATTCTAAGACACTGTCCCCCCAACCCCCCACCCCGACACTCAGCTTGGCCAAAAGATGGGGCGGTGCAATCACTCGGCCAAGTCCTCCGAACTCCAGTTCTGCCATCACGAGTGCAGAATGCGAACTATTCCCCCAGAGCAGGCGCCGGCTCTGGTTTCCGGATGCCGCCCTTGGATGCGGCCGCAGTCTCAGCCCAGATTCTTCCCCGCATCCCGGCGAGCACCGCCCGCCCCTCCCCGAGGAATGCTTCTCACCCAGTCGGGAGTCCGAAGCCGGGGCAGGAACACCCCTCTGCACCCCTGTGTGCTGCTGGGGCCTTACTTTGAGAGGCGCCCTGCTCTCCGGGGACACGGACTCATTTTGGGAGTGGCACCCAAAACAGACCCAGGCCCCATGCAAAGCACGGGCCTGCCCAGTCCTGCCGCTGACGCCCGCCCGCCCGCCGCCCGGCCCCTGGCACCGGGGACGTTTCCTGGAACCGACACCACCCCTTGTGAGACGCAGATTCCGACATCAGGCAACTATTTGAGGGGGCCAGCATGTTGCTTTAAGTGAGAAGGCAAATTCTAGATACTTCTTTTTGTCCTAACACCAGAGGAAGCAGGCCCAATATTTGCAAAATTAGAAACAGCCTGGGTCTCAGCCCTTGGCTGATGGCACTCGGGTATTAATCCATTAAGGCAATCAAAAGAGCTTAAATAAAAGCCTGCAGCCTGCAATATACATGTCCATGAACAAGCGGTAAAACTTCCTGAAAAGGTGATTTCAAAGCCATATTGCCCACGCTTGGCAAATTGCATATTTAATTATTTTGTCAGTCCTTCTTTCTCCTCTAATCTTCGGGGAAAATGCCTTGGGACATACGAAACCAGTTAGGATAATTAAGGTTCGATGGAATTAGGTGTCGGCTGATTTCTGGGAGAGATGGCATCCTCTAACCTGGTCCGAGATGTGTGCAGACCCCAAAAGGCAGGAACGTCTGTAATGTCTGCCTTTCTAGAGAAAGATCAAAGGTCTTTTGTCCCTTTCAAGATGTTTGTAGAATTTGTTTCCCAATTATCCCACATTTGCGCACTGGGACATCCTAGTTAACTCTTTGATGGCACCTCTGGAATTGGGCCGTAATTGACATCAAGCCGCACCTCCCTGCGCCCGGCTCGAGGCCGCGCTTCCCATCTGGGGTCTGTGCTCCGAGAGAGGAGAGGTCGGATGGGAGAGAGGCGCAGGGTCCAGGCTGCGGTCTGGGTGCCTTAGGCTTCAGCCAGGCTCTTCGCCCAGCGACACGGGACATGGGACATAGGACACGGGACTCTCTCCATCACTCAGCCTTGTCTGAACCTTGGTAAACTCCGCCCTCTCGCTCTGGTGTGACTTGCGGCTAGGGTTTTGCCTTTGCAAAGTTTTGCAATCGTAAGATCAGAGCCCCACTGCCTTGGAATATCATTCTAGAAAGGAAGTACACAGAATACATGATTTTCCCATGTTGGAATATTTCTCCTGGTCCACACGATGTTAAAAGAGAGAGAGAGAGAGAGAGAGAGAGAGAGAGAGAGAGGAAAAGAAAAGAAAAGAAAAGGAAAGGAAAGAAAAGAAAAGAAAAAAGAAAAGAAAAGAAAAGATAACATTTTAAATATTTGGAAGAAGTGGGGGGGGAAAGCCATCAAGATTTGAAGTTTTAATTGCGACATTGTGAGACTAAATGCGATTAGGATAGCACGCCAAGGTATAAAGTCAAGTGTCAAAACTTTTTATCTGACATAAAGGCTTGCTCTAGTGTGTGTTTTATTTACTTTTGATCTGTC